TCACTGAGGCTAGGACTTGACTATTAACTACACACAAAAGTTAGTCCCGTCAGCCAGGTGGGTGGCATCGTGAAGGATCACCCCCACCTTAGGGCCCTGGGCTGGGGCCTGGAGAGAGGGTGGGCCCAGGCCCCTGAGGTGGGGGTGATCCTTCACGATGCCACCCAAGTGGCTGACGGGGCCGCTTCTCCCCGTTCTCCGCCTCTCCTCCTTTTAATACTGCCTCCTGTGCCTATGCCAGTGTCCTGGGGCCGGCTCCCTGCCCTGCCCCCGTTGTCCTCCACGACCCCGTCACACATACCAATCTCTGAAAACTTCCAGGTAGCTTCAACATGAGGTCAGCACTCCTACACAGTATTATTCCCTAGCCACAGTATTAAGATCCAGTGTATGCTTCGTCAGAAATTCAAATAAATTGAACATCCATCTTTAATCTACAAAATCATTGTTTTCAAGTCACTAGAAGTGGAATACACACTAACAATCACTCAAAAGAAAAGGACTATGGGGTGTTTGGTTATTGAAATGAACTTCCCAGGTTAGGATGTGCTGTGTCCATGAAATAAGAGATAAGAACACCAATTTTAGGAGAATTAGCTTTCACACATGTTGTCTGAACTTGTCATCAAGTCCAGACCCCTGCTCTAGGCAGGACCAATTCCAATTAAATCAACCCAGCCAGGGCTTTGTCAAGCCGAGACTTAAACACCTCTAGGGATGGAGACTCCACTACTTCCCTAGGTAACCCATTCCAGTGCTTCACCACTCTCCTAGTGAAATACTTTTTCCTAATATCCAACCTGGACCTCCCCCACCACAACTTGAGACCATTGCTCCTTGTTCTGCAATCTGTCACCACTGAGAACAGCCTTTCTCCATCCTCTCTGGAACCTCCCTTCAGGAAGTTGAAGGCTGCTATCAAATCCCCCTTCCCTCTTCACTTCTGCAGACTAAACAGACCCAACTCCCTCAGCTTCTCCTCATAAGTCATATGCTCCAGACCCCTAATCATTTTGGTTGCCCTCTGCTGGACCCTCTCCAATGCATCTGCATTCTTTTTGTAATGGGGGGCCCAGAACTGGACACAATACTCCAGATGCGGCCTCACCAAAGCCGAAGAAAGGGGAATGATGACATCTCTGGAACTGCTGGCAATGCTCCTCTTAATGCAATCTAATAAGCCATTAGCCTTCTTGGCTACAAGGGCACACTGTTGACTCATATCTAACTTCTCATCCACTGTAACCTCCAGGTCCTTTTCTGCAGAACTACTACTTAACCGGTTGGTCCCCAGCTTGTAACTATACTTGGGATTCTTCCGTCCCAAGTGCAGGACTCTACACTTGTCCTTGTTGAACCTCATCAGATTTCTTGTGGCCCAATCCTCCAATTTGTCTAAGTCATTCTGGACCCTATCTCTGCCCTTAAGAGTATCTACCTCTCCCCCCAGCTTAGTGTCATCTGCAAGCTTGCTGAGGGTGCAATCCATCCCCTCATCCAGGTCATTAATAAAGATATTGAACAAAACTGGTCCTAGAACCGAACCTTGGGGCACTCCGCTAGAAATCGACCGCCATCCTGACATTGAGCCGTTGATCACTACCTGCTGGGCCCGGCCTTCTAGCCATCTTTCTATCCATCTTACCGTCCATTTATCCAATCCACATCCCCTTAACTTGCTGGCAAGAATATTGTGGGAGACCGTATAAAAGCCTTGCTAAAGTCAAGGTATACAACACCCACTGACTTTCCCATGTCCACCGAGCCAGTTACCAGCCAATGTTATAGCATTCTCATTCTGAGGTCAGTGCATGGAAAGATATATTGCTGTAGCCATAAAGATTATTATCTAGAAAAAGAATATTACTGTTGGAAGGAATTATCTTGATGTTTGAGAATGAGTGACTCACTTCTGAAATATATAAAAATCACCCAGATTAAAAACAAAACAAAAAAACAACAACAACAAGAAAAAAAACTTTCTATGTAGGAAGGCAAGATTTCTTTCAATTTATTCTGGGTCCCCCTTTCTCAAAAAGTAAACATGTCTGAGGACTTTTGTAAACCCTTCGTGAGCCAGTTATACAAATCAGGGTAAACCTGACACCGCCAGTACACTGCCAAGTTCATTGCTGGATTTGATCACATGATTCTGGCAAGCTGTAAAAGTCCTATTAATGTTGGTAGAGTGATCTTGGAATTAGACGCGTGTTCCACAATATCAAAGTCAGTAAGAGCAACAACATGAGTTTTTGTGGAAGTCATCTTTCAAGCAGAAGTCCTTCTCAGCACCAGCTCAAGAAATTGTATGGCATATTGAGACAGGCAAGATGCTGTAACAGCTCCATTGTCACCTGTGGCTCTCTGGTCACCAGGCTTTAAACCAATATACTGAAATTCCACAACCCATAGATGGTTCTTCTGATTAATTATTTGGGATAATGAACGGATAGCATTCCAGAGCATCAGATCTGGTGAATGGGGCTTCCATTGAGGTTTTGCAGGGATGACTCCTCTACAAGGTTTTATTTAACCTCCCCATAGTGGATCAGAGAAAGCCAGTAGACTCATCCAGCCCAAGGAAAAAAAATGAAAGTCACCAGAATCAGGTTCTCTGTTGCAGAACCTACCAGGATATAGGCATAGTCTATATGTATAGACTACATGAAGCATTAGTCTAGTGTGTGCTCTAAAATGGTATTTTGTCAGTAAATGGAACTGAGGTGGTAGAACTATTGGCCTGTCCCTATCTGACTAATCTAACCTCAGATCCGAAGTAGTGGTGAAACTAAAAGGTCTTTGAAACCTTAAAACTGAAAATGGGGAAGCAAACTTCCAGGGAAACTAGTTGGAGAAGTATCATTATCCTCTCCAATCGTTTGTCTCTCTCCATCCAACACCTACCACAGGAGAAGCTACTGTCTTTCTCTTATCTCTGTTCTCCTGGATCAGTTACCATCAGCTGAAGAAGCAGTGAACTTGTATTACTGCTCTTCCTGTTAGTTGATGCTGCAGTAGAAGATATACAGGTTCCAAAGAAATAGAAATAAAAATATATAATTAACTATAGCTAGCAGCTATGATTAAAGCTAGCTAATTATGGTGTCTTGCTTGAAGAGTTGGTTCTGGTGAAGTTCTAGAGACCATTCACAAAAATGACTGGAATGAACTGAGGTGTTCTGAGTACCATAGAATCATAGAATACTAGGACTGGAAGGGACCTTGAGAGGTAATCAAGTCCAGTCCCCTGCCCTCATGGCAGGACCAAAAACTGTCTAGACCATCCCTAATAGACATTTATCTCACCTACTCTTAAATATCTCCAGAAATGGAGATTCTACAACCTCCCTAGGCAATTTATTCCAGTGTTTGACCACCCTGACAGTTAGGAACTTTTTCCTAATGTCCAACCTAAACCTCCCTTGCTGCAGTTTAAGCCCATTGCTTCTTGTTCTATCCTCAGAGGCCAAGAGGAACAAGTTTTCTCCCTCCTCCTTATGACACCCTTTTAGATACCTGAAAACTGCTATCATGTCCCCCCTTAATCTTCTCTTTTCTAAACAATGAAAATGACTATATAAACTTTTATTACTGGCTTAAATAAACTCCTTTTATAGGGTCATCTTCAAAATGGTCAAGAACAGAGAAGGAAAAGACAAGGGAGTATTCCAACAGGCTCTGCTAGAAAACATTCCATAACAAGATGCACCCAGGACACAATCCAAGAGTGGGACTATGTAGAGGCCATTCAAAGAACAGCAAATTACTGCAACAAAAATGATCTTCCAAGTTGCTTTTATTAGAATTTTCCCAACTTTTAAAATTCCTGTATGTTGTAGCAAGACAGAGCCTCCCCCTTCCCCAGTCACATAGATCTTGCTTGCTCCTACAAGATGCCTCAAAGCACACAGAACACAGAGAGCAATAAAATCAGCATAGTCTTTGATACCTTGACAGAGGCCCGGATATGCTGGCTCATCTGACCCTGGATAACTGTAAAACACAGATAACAGAGGGTGATCAAGCCAATAAACGACCTAGAGGCTGCGAGAACTGCCCTTGGCTAGCAACCTATGTTGATACGATCACACAACCGTCCCGGGGAGAAGAATCTCCTGCTGAGTAAAGAATGTCCAGTACTCCCAATTTAGTTATCTCTCTTACAAGTGTAAATTAAGTTCACAACTCCCTTGTAAGGACTGGCGTCACAAAGACGAACCAGTACCACTTAGCACCATAAATAAGAAAGAGAATACGTGACCCCACGGGTATAAAGATGGGCCCAGCAGCACACTCCCTCTGAGCATCAATCTACCATCTACCTGCTGGTCGGGTTAGGTGATTGCCTCCCGAGATCCACATGGGGACGCCCAGCCTCGTATTCATCTTTCCCAGGGAATTGAGTGACCGGTCCTGGCCTGACACGCTGGAATCGAGAGACGCAGCAGGGGGTAAAAATTGTACCTGTATGTGTCCTTTTGTTTTAGTGCATGTATAGAATAGAGCTCTTTAAAGATGAAGCTGTCACTTGGTACCGTTATTTTCTATCTTCCTTTTCCTTTGTAACCATTTTAAGATCTGTATTTGCTAGCAGTTAAGAGGTAGAACAATAGTCATTGTAACCACATGCTTTATAAGCCTCTTTAATAAACCAGTAACTGTTTAAGCTTTAACCTGACTCTTCCTGTTGCTGTAACAGCACCAGACACAATTAAAAGAACTCCAGCCGGTCACAGGGGCAGATGCAAGCAGAGCTGGGGGTTTGGGTTCTGTCGCCTCCACGGGACAAACCTTTGGGGCACCCGTCAGTCTGCTGCCTGCTGCAAAGGGACCCCGTCCTAGCAGCTAAAGACTCGAGTGTAATAAGCTCTCCCTGCGAACTTCTGGGGCACCCGTCAGCCTCCAATAGGCTGCCTGCTGTGAAGGGACCCTGTCCTAGCAGTTGAAGACTCGGGTGTATCACACACACAGACCACATGCACTGACCTGACCATAGGCTGACATATGTATATATGAAAATAAAGACTTTATAAAACTTTTTAATCAAGGGACACAGGTTAATGTCTGGACATTTTAACCCATTGTTACAACACTTGAATTTACTGGAATTGAAAGCTGACAGGAAAGATTACCTCCTTCAGTTTGGTTTATTTAAGACAGTTTATTTAAGCCAGTAATAAAAGTTTATATAGTCATTTTCACTGTTTCCTCCATGTAATCATTCAGTTTTTCATTTCTTTCATAAAACAGAGGAAAGCAAAACAACAAAAGTGTGAATAGGACACTTCAAAATTGGTAGTGGGAATTCAGGGCAGTTAAGTTTGAAACCAGTTTTTAAAAGTTTTGAAATGAAAGATTGCATGTTGACTGTAACAATTTAAAGTTGTGGTTAAGCATACATAAAAACAAGTTTAACACTGAAAGAATCAAACTTATTCAGTTAATCTTGTGTGTATCCCACACAGCATGATTTAAACTGTATAAAATTTATTAAATTTAAATTAAATCAGATTTTGTCTTTTTTATATTCTTGCTGTACTGGAAACACTACAAATATCACTGAATTAATTTCAGTATGCACATTTCCAAAAACAAAATGCCAACCGCCACTACATTGCCTTTGTTATTAATTAATAATTTTGGAAACTAATATTCTAGAATCATCACTAATTAATGTAAGTAATGTGCCACCTATCTCTTTATAACGTATGAAAGGTCTGTCTCGGAAAGTAATTACTCCCATCATACCACAGATAGGTGGCCCATGGTAGTACCTAAAGGTAGCCTCTTCAAAACCAGAACACACAAACAAGTGAAATACAGCACTGAAAAACATTTATTTATAAACACTTCAATCAAATTCTCAAAAAGCTTAATTCTTGCTCAAAATGAGTGATAATGAAACACTCTTACTTGGTGTTCTATACAATGAAGCATCTCTACAAAGTCCAGCTGACTGTCTCAGGTGATTCCAATATTTAAACACTATAGTGTTGGTATTATTATCCCAATGACAGGGACTTTTACCCTTACAATTAGTTTTCAGAGGCTTCAGAATAATGGATGTGCTCCTGCAGTACTGGATGAATATACTGAAGTACAAGAATTAAAATTTTCTGAAAGTTTGTGCACTATTTGGTGAAACGAATGGAACGCACAAAACCCACTATTTTCTCCCAAAATACAAAAAAAGGTGAGGAAAACACCACAGAACTCATGATGTTATCTTTCTCATCTCATGATCATCATCAAAATTCATAGCTACCAAGTGGAAACTTTTATCCCTTTAGGTCCCAAGTATATCCTACATGCAAAGATGCTCACAGAAAAGAAATAGTAGGGGAAGGATTCAGAAGGAAAACAACTAAGGATGGAAATGAAATTTGTTTTTAACACTAGAATTCTTAGCCTCAAGTTTTTAGAAACAACTTACAAAATGTATTCAATAATGCTCAGAATATAAATAATTGGCCACGGGCATCATAGATAAGAAACAAAACTGACTGAATACTGTGTGGAAGTGATATAAATGGGCAACCAGTTAACTGGTGCCCGGGCCTGGCCCATCACCTGCTGTGAAACTCAAGGTAGGGCCAGACCGTGGCACAGCCAAGCCCCCCATTTAACCATGTACCCAATTGAATTTTTATTGGTTATACAGTTAATATTTGTTATATTTTTTTTTACATCTCTAGCCTGTGGTGCAATTAATTTCTTGACTCTAAATTGTTTACAAGTAAAAATACAGAATTTCAAAGAAACAAATGTGTAACAATTATTGAAATAGCTTACGAGTTTTCCAGAGAAATTAAAGAAATTGACTGTATATCACAAAACGGTCCATAACGTCCACAGACATCTTTTGATTGTATAGTAAAGTAGTACTTCTTGGAGGCTGTAAATTGTGATAAAGAACAAGCCATTGGTAGTGGCAAAGCCTTTATTTCTCCTATTTTCTTCCAGTGTGATGCAGTACTGTTATTGGGATGTTCATGGTATAGGAACAAGTGATAGCTCTCCACAGGAGCGCATTTAGGATCAATCTCCGTAACAGTCCATGAGAGCGCAATACCTTTTGGATTTTGCACCTGAGCCAGTTTTAGTTCAGGTTTCTGAGGTGGCACAGTGTCTTTGAATCTATCCTTGAGTTCTAGGTATGGAGGTATCCTGGGCAGCGGAGGAAGATGTTCAAGAAACTAGGGAAAATAATAATTTAAAAAAAAAAGTGAATAAGTTATCATTACTGTATTTTTTCTTTAATGAACAAATCAACCACAGTGTGCTAACTTTTGATTCAGATTTAGTGTTCCCATTTTTGGAAACAGTTTAAAAAATGTTAAGGAGCAAGATTTTTTGTAATGTGGTAAATAACGCTGCATTAGTCATTTTATTTATTAGTTCAGTATTAGAATAACTACATAGATAACAATATTAAATTAAAATAAAAAAGTAGTATTTTGTTAAATTGTTTTTTCTGGTATGTCATGCTGTCATATATAGAATCATAGGACTTGAAGGGCCTTTGAGAGGTCATACTGAATTTATGTTACTTTACCACTTTTAAAAATATTTCAAAAGACTTCCTCAAAACTAGCCCTATTTTACAGTCTCTAAGACAGGGGTATACCTATCTCACAGAACTGGAAGGGACATTGAGAGATCAAGTGCAGTCCCCTGCCCTCACGGCAGGACCAAGTACTATCCCTGACAGATTTTGCCCCAGATCCCTAAATGGCCCCCTCAAGGATTGAACTCACAACCCTGAGTTTAGCGGGCCGATACTCAAACCACTGAACTATCCCTCCACGAGGGTAGGGAACCTCAGGCTGGATGTGGCCTCTGAGGGTCAGGTCCCCCGCAGTGTTGGGGAGCCCACACTGGTGCTCCAAATCTTCCCCAATCTACTAAGGCTGTCCCTCCCCCTTCCCCCCAGCTCTAGTGTGCAAAGGGAATGTGGGGAGTGTCTCTCTCTCTCTCGGTCAGGGCCATATCAGTGAAGGGTGGGGTTTTGGTTTTTGTTGTTGCTTCTCACTTGTGTACTGCCCCCGACTGATTTTTCTGACCCAAAAGAGGTTTCCCACCCCTAATCTAAGAGGTCAACAGAAAAGAAGTGTTACAGGAACATGTTTTGCTAACAAATTTATTTTTCAAATATCCAATACTTTCCACCCATCATCCTCAACGACACATCAGAAGACATCACTAACAAACACCATCTTAAGATTATTTTGGTTGTTCCAAACTGAGTACTGTTGAATTCAACATTGTATCTAGATAGAATTGCAGCGTCACAATTCACTTAAGTGTTCTGTTATTGCACTCTGATCAATTTTCCAAAAAGTGCCTAGAGATTCAGCCAGACTAAACCACATCACAGGACTGAAAGGTTTACAAAAGTAAATCGTACCGATGTGAATAAAACTACAGGTCATATTTCCTGCTAAGGTGCGTTTCTGTGCACAAAAAAATTCTTACCCCGCCCATCTCCTCTGGAGAGTCGCGTGGCAGGCAGCTGCATGGCTCTTGCTACGTTTCAAAGGCAGAAGCATAGCAGTCGGAACGTGGGATGAGCGGAGACTGCTTGAGTCCCCACTCACCCTGGGTTCCCCACTGCTCTTCAGCTCTTACTACATTTAAAAGGCAGAGATGCAATCGACATAGCGAATGCCCTACCTCCCCCTTATTGGCTAATCAAGCAGTCAATGGAAATTCTGTCTACTACTTGATTAACTGATTAATCGAAATTTAACATCCTTAATCTATATCCATTAAATCTCTCAATCTTAATTGTCCAACAGTAATAAAACATGCACATTTAGATACTTGATCTTTACATTTCTGGTCCCTCATTCTAGCTGTTTTTTAAGGCACTGGAGCAGGATTGAATACAAAGAATTATGAACCACAGTAAATGAAATTTTAACCCTTTTTCACTCAATTTGAAAAAAGGTAATTTTTTCACCCTTGACTGAAATTTTCCTTGCCTGGTTTTTGTCCCATGATAGATTTTTCTACTACAACATCTACAATAGTTTTTAGAGAAGTTCATTTTAGCATGTAGCAATGCTCATCTGGTCTATATTCTTTGCTTCAATCTTGGTTCTCCTAAGAGTTAGAATTTTTGTTAAGAGTTTCCACTGTTTTAGAAACCATTATTATAGTACAAGTAATTTGATGGTTTCTGAAGACTTCACTGTAATACAGCACTGCCTTCTTGTAACTTAGAGTAAGCTTACCCAGATATAGTGCTTTTAATAAAACATGTTGTTTAAAAGTATTTTTTAATTTCCCTTAAGTTGTATATTGTTGAATTATGAAGAGCTAGTCAGCTGGAGTTTGTAAACACTCTAAAATTAAAAATAAAAATTATAGAAAGTTTAAAAAAAGAAAAAAATACCATATTTGATGCTTGTGCTAATGGTTCGTGGCAATCTGATTTGGTGCCTCTTGGTTTTGAATTCCTTTTGTGGGACACAGAATTCTGGTCTTCTTTTACCTTGCCTGTGAACAAAATGCAAGTTTTAAATCCTGTAATTTTGTACCTACTGAAAGTGAATTGGGTTAAAAACTTTGTTTGACAGATGTTGGGTTTTGTTTTACATAATAAGGATTTCTCAGGATTGTTAAAGGTTCTAGAAACTTGTTCACACTGTTAAAGCGCTTCAGCTAACATGTATGGGCTACCATTATGAGACCGTGAGGTGACAGTTTAGTCTTCATTCCATTTAATTATTCATCTTTATAATTTACATATTGCTCAAAAGAGTTAGACAAGTTCATGGGGGGAGGGACAAGGGGAGGGGAAAATCAGCTGACAGCTAAGATGTCAAGGACACAATCCCATACTCTGGATGCCAGAGATGGATCAATTGATAAATTGCCCTGTTCTGTTCATTTCCTTTGAAGTATCTGGCACTATCACAAGACAAGATAATGGGCTATATGGACAGTTGGTCTGACTTAGTATGGCCACTCTTAAGCTCTTACTCCTATCTACAATGGAAACACACCAACTACTCAACTGACAGTTAGCTGAACATCTCTAAGATCTTACATTAAATACAACATCTTCATCAATTCCAAAATAATTGCTGCATTTGACATATTTTACAAGCTTCTATGCTAAATCACCACAAAAATACATCACTGTCTTGGTGGGATGCAAGAGCATTTTAACAGCACAGGAACATTAATATGCTAGTTTAGAAAAATAACATAAAAAAGAAATCACTAAACTAGCTGCAGGAAGAATTTAGGAAGAAGTAACTTATTTGTTCCAATAGGAATTATTCCAGAATACTACCTAATACCCACCCTACTGAAAAAGGTGGCATGGGATCCTAAATTACTACAAAGATTTTGATTCCGTTTTAAAAAAATGCATACCCAAAATCAACAACAGCATAGTGCTTTTTAACTCCATGACTGAAGATTAGTTCTACACACAGAGATGAAAGAAGGCAACCTACCAAGCCAACCATAGCCACTAATACTGTATCTTGCACAGTACTGCAAATAAGGTGTCATGCTCCAGGATGCCGTATCACTAAGCTATTTTTAGCCAGTATAGCATCCTTGAATAAAACAGTTGCCCCCTCACATCTCCTCTCAAGATCTCTGGCATGGCTCTACTCCCCATTCCACAGAGCTACTGCATCTATAAGGCTGTGTGTGGAACTAGGCTGGGAAATCTCGTTTTCCCTGGGGAGCAGTCGGGGGGAAAGGGGAGAGAGAGAGTGGGACAGGACTGGTAGTTCTCCTTTCCTCACTGGCCCTCCCCTCTGGGAAATGACCAGAACTCTGCCCCCAGCACTGCATACAGATTCAGCAGCTCTATGCAGAGGCAGGGATTCTGCTCCCTTCCCCCAGCTAACGGGACGGGAAAGAGAATAATGTAGGGGTCCTGGGCTAGGAGTGCGGGTCACATAGAATCATAGAATACTAGGACTGGAAGGGACCTTGAGAGGTCATCAAGTCCAGTCCCCTGCCCTCATGGCAGGACCAAGTACTGTCTAGACCATCCCTGATAGACATTTATCTAACCTACTCTTAAATATCTCCAGGATGACGATTCCACAACCTCCCTGAGCAATTTATTCCAGTGTTTGACTACCCTGATAGTTAGGAACTTTTTCCTAATGTCCTACCTAAACCTCCCTTGCTGCAGTTTAAGCCCATTGCTTCTTGTTCTATCCTCAGAGGCCAAGATGAACAAGTTTTCTCCCTCCTCCTTATAACACCCTTTTAGATACATGGCAAGGTCAAGTGGCCTTCCTACTCCCATACTGGCAAAACATTTCTTAATTGTACCACTGGTCCTCCAGCACACTGATTTCTCCCATCCAGGACTTGACCTAGAACAAGCTCTGCTTCATTTATAAAAATTAATGAGATTACAAATCACCCCAAGCAACAAGTTTTACTGAAATCAAACTGTGTCCAAACCTTAAGTTGGATAGTTGCATATTATTTATAGCAAAAAGAATGTTATTTAACATCATTGCAGGAGCAGTGGTTGGTAAGTAGTCAGCTCATTCTGTGGTGGGTAGCAAGTCTTCACCTACCAGTGAATGAGGAGGACTAATTTCCCTTCATTATGGGAGATATTTAAGAAGATTAATCAGCCTGTATTGTGAGCAACTGGCTCTGGGTTCCTGATGCCTATTTCAGTGGTTTGGTGGGTGAAAGAGACTGGTCAGCTCTTGCCTTCAATCTGAGTAAAGTAGTGGTTCATAATGGCATCTACAGCAGACTTCCGATAATCCAGCACCTTTGGGACCTAGGTGGTGCCGAATTATCAGATATGCCGGATAGGAGTATCCGGAGGTCCTGGTACAGCTGCCCGGCTTAACAGCTGGCCGGGACACAATCTCCCTCCCTTTCCTCTCCCCTTTCCTCTTTGCTTCTACTCTGTGCTGTAACCTGATCCTCCTCCCCCTCCACTCTCCTTTCCCCTTCCCTGAAGCAAAAAGCTCTTCTCCATACTGTAACATGATCCCACTTACCCCCCTCCCCTCAACCTTATGTTCAGTCCGGGTACAGCTGGCTCGTGTGCTGAGCGGCCGGCTTTTTAATCAGCTGGACAGGAGCGCTTGACATTTTGATGCCTCTGGAATCCTGAACAACTAGGTGCCGAACTATTGGAGTTTTACTGTATTTGCATCACCAGAAAGAGGGACTAGGAACAGTTACAGTAGCAGGGTCTTATATAATTACAGTTGGGGCATTGGATCCATGAGTAAATAAACTTACATCTCTTAAAAATCAAACAATTTTGGTATGGTTACTGGATTACAATGTAATCTACTAAAATGGAGATGTGCAGAAGCAGTTCCCCTCATGAGAAAGTTTTTTCTTCTAAGGACTAGATCCCAGTCTCAACTCCACAAGATTAATTTCCTGTACATTTAAAATAAATTACTAAATGAAACCTTTCATTAATTATATCTTATATTTTAAGTTTTTTCCCTATATCTCTATAAATAATTTTTCATTCACCAGTATCAAAATTGTACGTACCTTCTTCTGTTAGATCAATCACTGGAGATTTTGTTAATTCTTCAGCATGCTGTAAAAACAATGGCAGCTCTGATTAAATTATTTCTATGATGGTTTAATTAAAAATATGCATATAAATACTTCTGTTAAAATGTATGAATGGTCACGATGTAAACTTGTACATTAAACTTTCAGAAATGCGCATTTTTATACAAACTGTGTAGATGTGAAAGATAACAGAAATAAGTATAGATGTATATAAATATCAATATCTGTAAGAAATCAAACATTCAAAAATATACGTGATTGACAGGGAGATCTACGGTGATCGATCAAAAATATGAGGACAAAACTATAAAAGATGGATTTCTTAAATGTTAATGGATCTCAAATGGTAATTATACAGATCTTGTCTCAGAGCAAAACTACGTAGAACAGTTTTTCACTAGTTTCCTCCTAGATAGCTGTCCTTTGGATGAGTTTTCAGATAGTTTGCCAATGCACAAAGCTGCCAATAAACTTTTTATTTCCGGGGTTCCAATTATGAACTTAAGGAATCATTTAATGTAACTCAGCAAGTATTTATGTAGTGGGTTTATTTAGATTTAAAAACAAGTTAGATCTTGTATTCACAATCTTCACTTCACTAATTCCTGCAATTGCTCCCACTAGTGAAGTTCAGCATTGGTAGCTGAGGGATAGTGGGAAAAGAACAATTTTCCCACCATCATCTTATCTAAATATCCCTGAGCAGGCTTATAGAACACGCTAGTAGAAATGCCACCTGTCCCAGATAAACCACTGTTTGCACTTTTGCAATCACCAGTGAATCCCCACTTTTCATTAACACAAATTAAAAATTCCTGCTTGTGTGTGTGTGGGGGGTGGGGGCAGAGGGGGGAGAGGAAGGACAGAGAAAGGCAAAATAGGAAGCTTTGACCATTAAAGTGATGTAGAACAATCTAGACACACGACATCCTAACATTTTTTTAACATGCTCTGTTGCTAAAGTCTAACCTTATGCTTAATCTGTTTAAAATTATATAAAAGATTCTCTGATATGAACAAAATAAGAAATGCAGTTATGTTATGAGAAACATTTAATCTACATTTTGAAAAGTCAATGTTAAAATAAAGTTTTTAATGATAAACCCAATGAGAATCCTGAACTACTTCTCTAAACTGTGGTGAAATACATTCTAAGGGAGTGAGAGTTCTAGGGTATGTCTAGACTGCATGCCTCTGTCAGCAGAAGGATGCAGATTAGGCAGGTCGACATTGCAAATGAAGTGGGAATTTAAATATCCTGCACCTAATTTGCATAAAATGGCCACAAGTTTTGCCATCTCAGCACTTTGTCAGCAAAAAGCAGCAGTCTAGAGGGGAATCTGTTGAGAAAGAAAACCTTTTTCGACAGATCCTGTAAACCTCCTTGAAGGAGGCATAAGGGACAGCAAAATGTGGTGGCCATTTTTATGCAAATTAGGTGCAGGATATTTAAATTCCCACTTCATTTGCAATGTCGACCTGCCTAATCTGCATCCCTCTGCCGACAGACGGATGCAGTCTAGACATATCCCTATTGTGCACTAATGTTTTGAACATTTATTGTTTCATTTAGAGTAGAACCTACTCTGGTGTACACTAAATGTCCCCTAACAAGCTCTACCTTATTTGAAACTAGATTAAAGAGCATTAGGAAAGCTTTAGTACACAACAGCAGAATCTAGATTGACTGATTTAATGAGAACATTACACTTTAGAAATCACACTCATAATGTACATTGCCACACCCAGGGCCGGCCCGAGCCCTTTTGGCACCCTGGACCCGGGCGCGGGGGCCACCCCCAGGTGCACAGGTGCTCCCCCAGGGCACATGGTGCATGCGTGGGCTGGCCACAGCCCCTGGTGCGCAGCCCAGGGCATGCCCCCAGGACGCATGGCTGCTGGCACGCAGTCCTGGGCCCACCTCTGGGGCACACGGTGCATGCGCTGCCCAATCCGGTCAGTGCTGCTGGCGTGTACGCCGAGCCATGCAGGGCCTCACGGCTGTGGGGGGAATGGCGCTGCTGGCCAGTGCCGTGGGGCTGGCGCTGCAGGAGCCAGGAGCACAGCGCCTGATGGCAGTTGAAAGGGATGCCGCGCGCCCCTTACAGCTGCCATCTGGCGCCCCCTATTGGTTGGAGCCCCGGGCAGCTGCCAGGCTCACCCATGCCTCAGTCTGGCCCTGGCCACACCATGTAGAAAAGCTTTTAGTGTGTTGTAAATGAACAGCAGATAAGGATATTAACCCTTTGATTACAAGTATACAAATGACATGATTCAACCATATCTATGTAGGAAAATATTCCAGGAAAAAGTGAAGTTAAGGTGGAGTCTATATATCAGTAATTTAAGAGTTAAAGTTAGCATTTTTGAAGTCCACAACTCTCCTTCAGACACCAGTCTGAAAGATCTTATCTTGGAAAATTATATTGTTTCTTAGCCCAAGATGAAAGATGAAAGCCAGATGAAAATAAACTGCTCAAGGTAGTTAAGACCAAAGCAGACTGTGAAGAACTTCAAAAAGATCTCATCAAACTAAGTGACTGGGCAACAAAATGGCAAATGAAAGGGAATGTGGATACATGTAAAGTAATGCACATTGGGAAAAATAACTCCAACTATACATATAATATGACGGGGGCTAATTTAGCTACAAACTAATCAGGAAAGAGATCTCAGAGACATCGTGGATAGTTCTCTGAAGACATCCACGCAGTGTACAGCGGCAGTCAAAGAAACAAACAGGATGTTAGGAATAATTAAAAAAGGGATAGAAAATAAGACTGAGAATATCTTACTGCCTGTATATAAATTCATGGTATGCCCAGATCTGGAATACTGCATAACAATGTGGTCTCCTCATCTCCAAAAAGATATACTAGCATTAGAAAAGGTTCAGAGAAGGGCAACCAAAATGATTAGGGGTTTGGAATGGGTTCCATATGAGGAGAGATTAAAGAGACTGGGACTTTTCAGCTTGGAAAAGAGGAGACTAAGGGGGGATATGATAAAGTATATAAAATCATGAGTGGTGTGGAGAAAGTGAATAAGGAAAAGTTATTTGCTTGTTCCCATAATATAAGAACTAGGGGCCACCAAATGAAATTAATGGGCAGCACGTTTAAAACAAATAAAAAGAAGTTCTTCTTCACACAGCGCAGAGTCAACCTGAGGAAGCTGTGAAGGCTAGGACTATAACAGGGTTTAAAAGAGAACTAGATAAATTCATGGAGGTTAGGTCCATAAATGGCTATTAGCCAGTATGAGTAAGGAATGGTGTCCCAGCCTGTGTTTGTCAGAGGGTGGAGAAGGATGGCAGGAGAGAGATTGCTTGATCATTACCTGTTTGGTTCACTCCCTCTGGGGCACCTGGCATTGGCCACTGATGGCAGACAAGACCTTTGGTCTGACCCAGTATGGCCATTCTTATGTTCAGATGGGTCACCAGTCCGAACAGAACACCGCTTTCTGACCAAGTGTTTGGGATTGAACCCCACCTTGCTTATCAAAGGGGAACAAATCATACAGTTATTTAATACTTGTTATATAGGTTTGGAAAGATTGGATTTGTATCAGTAAAAGTAAGTTTCATCACATATACATACAAAGAGATGAAAAAATATTTCCATCAATAATCAAAGTTTAGAGACAGGAAAAGAAAAATGCTGCTTGAGAACTTATTGCAGTTTCATGTAAGAATATTCTGTATGTGTTGACATGTGACGTTAACAATATGTTTTTACGGTGGCTTTAACTTTTTGAATCTCAGTCTTCACGGTCATTAAATAAGAGAAGGTTATACAACTTGCGCAATAACTGGAGATCTTTGAGATGCATGTCCCTGTGGGTGTTCTACTCTTGGTCTTGGTATCTTTCTGGTGCCCTTGATTGGAGAGACTGATAGCAGTCCCCTGCTAGCGATGCACACACGCTGCTTGGCTCATGGTCTGTAGTTAGTTCAAGTAGCCCCATGCCCGGCCAGCACATCAATTCCTTCTCTATGTCAAAAGCTATATTGCCAAAGCAGAGGGGAGCAGAGCGGTAGTGATGCACCCATAGGGACACTCATCTTGACTAACTCTGGTTACTGCATAAGTCGAGTAACTTTCCCTTCTTTGAGAGAGATGCCTCCGTGGGTGCTCCACTCTTTGTGACTAACAAGCAGTGCCCTTAGATGGTGGAGGCTTTGGAGTATGTTGAAAGGCGGATGATAAAACTGCTCTGCCCAGCTGTATCTCTGTTCTGGGATGATGCATGAGTACGTAATGTTGGGCGAAGGTATGGATCTGGTAGAGTGGGCCCTAACTGTAGAAAGAGGTTTGAGGCACTTCAGACAATAGCAAACACATCCATTTAGAGTCTCTTTGGATATAGGAAGGTCTTTGGAATGATCCGCTACCAAAAAGAAAAGTCGTAGAGATTTCCTAAAGACCTTGGTCCGGTCTGTATAGAATGCTAAAGCTTATGCCACACCCTTGATGTGAGATGGAGGTTTCAAAGGAATTAGCATGAGGTTTAGGGAAGAAGATTGGTAGTTGAAGCAGTTTATTGATATGGAACAAGGAGGGTACTTTTGGAAGGAACTGTGGGTGAGTCTGAAATCTAATTCTATCCTTAAAAAATATGGCATATGGTGGATCAGTCAAAGGGTTCCTAATTCTCCCATGCAATGTGCCAAGGTAATAGTGATGAGGAAAGCGACCTTCATAAAGCGCTGGAGAAGAGAGCAAGAGTCAAGGGACTCAAAGGGCTTGTGTATGAACGATGGAAGACTAAATCTAGATCCCAGGAGGTTTGACTTCAGGGTAGAGAACTGAAAGTCCATTCAAAAAACACTTTGTGATTGTGAGAGTGAATAGGGAAACATCAATTTTGTGATGGAATGCAGGTATAGGTATCATTGCTAGGTGAACCTTGAGTGCGCTAATTGATAGGCCTGACTTTTTGAGCATGAGGAGGTAGTCCTGTAGGAGCGGCAGAGCTGCCTGTTGTGCACTCACCCATTTAGAGGCACACCAAATCATG